TGTCTGTTAAATTTCTGGAACTTATGTAGCTCCCATTTGCAGTAGTTTCTGAAGAGTTCACAATATTTCATATATTTATCGTCTTGGCAGCCCTGGGAGTGTGGAAAAAATTTCAGTTTTTGTCAACCAGTCTTTCAACTGGTATTACCACATTTCATTTAAAAAAACCTAGCATTTAGTGAGTTTCTGGAAAATACACAGAGCCTGTGATAGAAGGAAAAAACCTGCTCCAATTTTGCCATAGCCCATGGTAACTTCTGAACCCATGGACCTTCCCGTTACAGAAGGAGATAGCCACGTTCCTTCTTATGTCAACACCAGCTTCTTCTACTGGAGCTAAAAGGGGTAAAATCTCCCTCAATTACCTTCTTATATATGATGTAAAACTCCAAGCTATAAAGAGCTAAGGCATAAGAAAAAAATTAACTTTTTTTTCCAAAACAGAAAATAAAATATCTGTAAATGTTTCTGTTTGTATCTTATTTAACACAGATGTTATTTTAGGATTCCATTCTCATATCCTTCATTGTTCTTATCATAGAACTGAACGGCGTTATCACAGATTAGGACTCAATTGTCACACTAGGTACTTATAATTTAAATTCCTCTATAAATATCCACCTAATAATCCAGATTTCAGTGCAGAGAGGTAAGACTCTCTCAGCAGTATGATAAGCATTCACTATAGCTAGGAAAAAACTCAATGCCTTCACGTTGTTATGTCAAACCTGTGAGATCTAAGAAAGGGTTTGACAAAGGCAAGACACGCTACGGTTTGACTTGAACCCTGAAACTTACACAATTTGCCATGAGTAAAAGGTTCTTTCTGGAAATGTTGTGCAAAGATGGAGGAATATAACAATTATAAAAACACACAGCGATCTGATCTATAAAATGCTATGGATTGTAGAATGACCTCATAAAATAGACTTTTTTCATTGTGTTATTTCAATGAGCCCAGGTTTTAAGCTATTGATTCTTACACGATACAACCAATCAACACTTCGCTGCTGTTTATCTCATGAACCAGAAGTATTTTGTGTTTACTTTGGTCCAAATTATTTATTGACTCTTTACTCTGTTTTCACTATGTCTATTCGTCATTACATGAAGACTTAGAGAGAAATTAAGACTTCCAAATTTGGTTAAGTTGCACAACTATGAAAATATAACCATCATAAAAAATTGAATTTTTTGCTCTCAAACTTTCCACTTTATTATGTCTTTCTCCAAAACTTCACATTTTCCATTACCTAGCTGAATTCCCTCTAATTTCACTCAGGGAAATAGCAAAACGGACATCAGAGTCTGTGTCATAATAAAAACATTTTGGACTAATGAACTTTTTACATGAAAAAAACATATTCTAGTAATGGTTTAACTAACCATGTCTGTTCCTAGGAGTTAACAATTTCAATGCAGCTAAATATTATCCTTTAAATAAATCTATTGTTGATGTATTGATGACAAATTAGTTTGGTGCTAAATATAATAAAAATATAGCAAGAAACTACTAGCAATTAAGTGCAGTGCGTCACGCAAGCATTAAAGACAATATTATTATAACATGCTACAAGTTCTATTGGAAGAAATAAGAGATAGCATTTTTATTGAACTACAGTCCCGTTCTCTTGGGCATTTACTGATCAGGTAAAGTGCAACGTTCTCTCTTGAAATTCAAGTGGGGTTTTTTTTTTTTTTTGGCAGAACTGCTTCTTTGTGATATAACAACTTCTCTGGTTCTGGTCAAAAAGTAAAATAAAAAAATGTCAATAGCATCATCAACGGGGTAAAAATATTAAGGCCTTTTTTGAACATGAATCAGGTGCAGATATTGAACTGTACTTTTTCATCCTTTGTCTCACTTTTCAAATGATAATTTCTTCCACAGCCACCATTAAATCTTGATCTATTCCAGCTCTCTGTATGGGTCATTGATTCTAGATGTACCATGGTTATTTTTAAATGTTTCCCTTTCGTAGAGAAAAAGAGGGCTGTCTAGAGCCAGATGGGTAACTTCACACTTCATTTATCAAACCCAATGCATCAGACTCCACCCTCTCTTTCCCACTATTGCTGTTAAATTTCCATATAATTTGGTAACAATTTTCATTATCATACAGTGACCCTAAAAAGTCTATACAGGTTTGCATGGTTAGTCCAAAATTCACAGCTGTTCCCTTTACCCTCTATTTGTTACAGTAGAATCTCAGGGTTCCCCCTGCTTTATAAGCTGAAGAGTGACCTTCTATAAGCAGAGGTCAAGAAGGGGTCAGTTCAAAGGGCTAGAGCAGCTCTTTAACAGCTATAACAACCTGTCCATCAGGCACTATCACACAGAATAAACAAATCTGGGGCTTTAGAAACCCTGGACCATTTCTGTTAACACTTAGAGGACATTCACTGAGTCCTACCTGAAGTATTTTGGATCACTACCACTCAACAGAGAACAACTTGAATCCCTAGAAGACCTGCTCAGATACTTAAGATACCAATGACATCTTTGAGTCCAAAGTATATGAAACGGTGAGCCAGAGCACTAAGTGCACTGCCATGTGTTTGGGACTACGGACCTAAAATAAAAACTTAAAGAGTAATTATGCAGAAACAAGAGTTCAACTTAAAGCAAAAAATGCACGGCCATGCTTTAACCAGGTAGATACATATGAAAACAGTGCATCTTCCTTTCCCTGAGAAAGGCTACATTTCTAAAAATCAAATCAGTTTATATTAAGTTCCCAGGAAGGTTTTTTTGGGTTTTTTTGAGGTGACAATGACACAACTAAAAATCCATGAAGGAACAGAATGCCTACAAAACAGAATGGCTACAAAACTCTACAAAGTCCAAGTGCAGAGTAAAGTTTTTGCCAGCTGCCCTCCCTTCATTGACCTAAATTTCTTGAAGTTGTACTGTTCATAATGTGCTCTCTAATGCACAATGTAAGGTAATTAGAGTCATCTGTATTTAACTTCCAGAGGAAAAAAAATTCTATTATCTAATCTAGCTGATCCCCTGATAGCCTGTTGAAAGTAAAATACTGTAACCTATTGCCTGCCCTTTGACAAGTGCTAATTATTTCCTGTCCAAGCACATTTTTCTCATGTAATTCCAAAGTACACAATAGACTGATCTCTAAAACATGGGCAGCCCTGCTAGTACCGCGGCGGACGTTTTATAACTTTCACCACCGTATGCTTGATGGCTACCACAGTCAGTGCTTCATTCCAGACATCTAGCTGAAGCTTTGATGAAGCAAAGTGAGGTGTATGGTAACAGCCTGTTTATGCACATCATATGGATGAGACTCTCAGATAGGTCACTGGGATGGGAAACATCAAATGGAAAGAAAAAGGATTATGGATATTTAATACTCAAAGGACACTTTCTTTCAGAACTTTCAAGGCACAATGCTCTTGAAATTTTCTTTCAGGTGTTTAGTTTTAAGGAGGCCTGCACTTTGTCTGCTTGTGCCTCTCCCCCCCAGCCCCGGAACGTCAGAGTTTGTCTCAGAGACCAGACTATGGCTACAGCAGCAACGCCGGCTCCAGCCTCCCATTACAGGGTGGGCAGGAGCCAGTAACACTGGAACCACATTATTATTGTAAAATAAGTCCCAATTGCCATGAATCCTGATGACTTTCTATCTTAGGAAATCATTGTTGAACTAAACAAACACTAAAAAGATATGCCACTCATTAGAACTGTTTAGCCTTTCCCTATTCCCTGGGAAACCTTCCATTCTGCTTCACAACAGAGACACACATACCCCACGGAAAAGCCTTAAGTGATTCCTCTGTTTCCAGTGTGGCGAAAGCATCTGTGTTATTTAGTAAGCATGGTGATGGAAGGAAGGGAAAAAAAAACCAAACCAACTCCCCAAATCCCTTAAATTCCTCAAAAAGGAAGAAACAAAAAACCACGTGATAGTACAAACAATATTGTAGACCCGCCTTACAAAACTATTCCACTCTGAGATCTTAACTGGTCAGTACACAAATAAACATTCTGTACTCATAAGGTTGCAAAACTATAAAACACATCCTCTAATTTGTGTTTCTTCTAAAAACAATGCTTAATTTTTACCTAAAGCTTCTAAAATGTTTCAAGTCCACTACTATAATTATTGTGAACAGCAAAACCACTCAAGTGTTCACAATTAACTTTTTAAAGTCTATCCCATAGAATTTTCAGGAACTTTCCAAAATCATACACTAACAAGCACAGGAGAACTCCCTTAACTGGAACATTTGATGCAGGTAAAAAAAATCATGACAATTAAGTGCTAATTTTGATTAACAAAATCTCATTAAAAAATTACTTTTGACTAAAGTAATTGTAAGCACAGGACGTCTCCTGGTTTTAGAGGTAAACTGTACATTTGGTAGAAAAATTTCACAGACTGTTAGATATTTTATGTAAATATCATAAAGAAAAAACCCAAGAGGTTATTAAATCAATATAAATCTATAGATTTTTGAAACAGATGTGAAAAAAGGTGACATGAACTCCAGTATAATAAAACAGGCACATGATACAAAGTCTAGCACCAGTCTCACCCAACACAACCCAACTAACACCAGTAGGACATCACAAGAAAACGTGAGGATCATCAGGAATGCAGACAAGGGTATCTGTGAGCGTGGCACTCCAGCAAGGAGTACTGCTCAGGCTGCTGGCAACAGAAGGAAAATGTTAAGGCACTTCAGCTGATACCAATCCTCCAGCACACAGGCTGCCAACCAAGCTATTATCAATAGATGGCCCTACATTAGCACAATAAGGGAACATTCCACCCCTCAAAGGAACTCTGAAATCAGAACCAGAAACATTGGCTCATCCATTCAAGGAAAAATACTATTTGAACAGTAAAAATTCTGATTTTTTTTTTTTTAATGTCAACTTGCCCCCACCATCCAAGTGGATTTATAGGAGTATATATATATATTTGATATACTTGTTTCCAATTTTATTATCTTACTATTTTTCTCAAATTTCTCACCTTGCTGTCCACTCTTTACGCAGCCTTTGTCGCTCAGTAAGAACTAGCAAGAAGCAGTTGATGGTTTCATTCCTTTGTTCCTCAATTTGTTCCTTTTTTCCAACTTCAGAAAGTAGCAGTCTTGTCTTAAAGGGAAAAACCACATAAAAATTAGAATCTCAAAATAGGAAACAATGTGTAAAATTAATAAAAAGCCCATAAGCAAATAAGGACAGTAAATCAATAGCTTTTTTTATTACAGTTCCACTGCTGACAAATCAATACAGTAAATGATGGTTAGAAATGGCCACCATATATTTGGTATTTAATCAATGTACATGGCACATAAGGTAAACCTTAAAATCTCATTGTTTTAAGTAACACAACAAGACACTGTGCATTCTAGCTCTCATTTTCTTGAGACATAACTCTTTTCTTTTCTAAATATTTTCTTGTATCAAATCATATCAGAAATGTTTCCCTCAATACAGCATTTGTTTTGGGGATTTCCTCCTCCCCTTTGATCCTTGGTGAAGCTAAACTAGAAAATACCTGTTTGTAATCTATCTTCCAACAGGAATATCTGATGATGTCCCCATGTTCACTTTATCATGAAATATTGCAAGTAAACATGCAGTAAATTATGGAATTTATAGAATAAATTAAAAATTGCTATGATATATTTACACACACACCCCCACACAAAATGGATTTAAGCCATTATGGAGTAGGATCACACTCAGTCCCTGCAGACCAAAAGTTATTGGCTTTGCCAAATGTGTTGACAATTAACGATGTTGATGTAACTGAACTGTAGATCTTCTTCTTGTCCTTCATCCACCCAGCAAGCTAATTCCAGCTCCCTCACTACATCTTCATCTTCAACCACTAATTTTCTCCTCTTTTCCCCCCTACGCTTCCCCACGTCTGTCAACTTGGGAAAGAAACGGCCCGTGCTGATGCTCACGCTAGTAACACGTATGTCCACCAGAGCACATGTGCTTGGTGTGCAACCACAACAGGGATCTACAGTCAATGCTGCAGCTTTTTCCTTCAGTGAAGATATTACATTCGCCTTTCTCACCTAAACCAGCCACTGATATTCACTTCGTTATTTTTGCTGTTCTAACCCTCAGTCACATGTTCTGCAAACCTATCAAAGTATCCAAGGGCTTTTGGGAAGGAAGACTGAACAGACAGATTGCTTGCATAAACCTAGTTTTTTCACAGAAAAGAAGGAAAAAAAAATATGTTTCTAACCTGAGCAGTTATGGAATTGAGCTTGAAAGCACAATTAAAATACCACCAAGAGCTGCAATTGCTGCTCCCAGGATGGCCTGTCTTACAGGAACAGCGTGACAAAGACACGGCACGTTGCCTCCTCCTCAACATCACACACATGTTACATTCTGCCCTGCCCAAATGTACACCCACTAAGATTCCTCTGGGGATTCGGTGAGAGAAATGCTTGTTATTATCTTCAGTTTGTGAAAACAGGAAGATCTAACCTTGCTCTAACAGGGGTTTTTTTTTTGACAAAAGAGAATAATATGCAGATTATACTCTTCTTAAGCTATGTAAAGGAGCATTAACATTGCTGTCACCATGGTGGTTACAAGAGACAAGCATGTCAGGGTTCATAGAGACAGAAATTAATTTTATTGCACCAACATCAGATGACAAAGAGCAAAAAGCCTCTTCCTCCCCATCTCCCAGCTGGCCTACCAAAAGGCATTACCCTGTCATATGGGACTTACACATCAAAAAGAACATTTTCTTGTAAAAAGCCAAAACGTTCAAAACTCTGTCTATACGGATCACATTCTTGACCCTGCTTTGACATTACAAAGCAAACAAAAAGCCAGAGAGTATTTTCAGATAAGGATTCCCTGACATGGGCTTCCCTTGCACTGACCTGCAGCGTCTTTTCCACAAGCTCCAGTTTCTGCCAACCACAACAATCCTGCTCTTCCAGCCTGGCCACCAGCAGCCACACAGCTCCCAGCAGGGTTAGAGCGAGGGCTTTGATGCAAATTGATGCAAATAAACACTCCTTGTCATACAGAATAAATATACCTATTAAGACTTTAACTTCTATATTTACCACGTGCAAGACTTGACATGTCTGTATTACAGTGAGATCAGACTGTAGCCATACACTACGTCACAGGACACCACAGTTTCCCTTTCAGAATCTTTGGATGGCCTTATTAATCACAGTGGAATCAGGGAAATCCACTAGTGACAGTGTAGGATTCTGCTTCTCTCCAAGACTGCAGAAAAGCCCCAAGTTTAATGATGCTGTACCTCACAAAGCTAAAGATAGAGCTATTTTCAGGCAAAAACCATCAAGCTCCCATAAATAAGTGATTCCCAAAATGCAGAGCATGGAGAACTAATAGTTCCTAAAGAATTACCAGCTAAAAATCTAAAAAATGACATGATTAGAGCATTATCAGTCAGAGAAAATGGGGAGTGACCCACTTCTCCAAGTATTCACAGTGACATAATGCTTTTGTATGAATTCTGATGGCCTGGCCAAACTGCAACTTTGGTACCGAGTTCCACTGCCTAAAGTCCCCTCCATCTACAGCAACATCATCATTCTGGAAATTGAACGTCATTTAATTGTCAGCGAGAGAACAATTATATTGCCCGGCCTCATGTTAACGCCTCTCATTTCTGTGGGGATGTACACACTTTAAGTCAAACTCATAGTTTGACACCAACATCATAAACGCTTCTTTCCTGAGCCCTGTGAGTACGGTTGCAGCTACCTGGAGGGTGAAATAGTACTATTTAGCAACGTACAACAACAAGACGTAGCAATTTAACTGATTTACTTGTTTTCTAAGAGTGCTGGAGGTAGTAAGGTTACCCAGGGCGTGCACGCAGGGCTTGATATGTAGCTTTTAGAGAGGCATTTCTTAATAACTTGCTACTCTTATCATCTCAATGAAAATCCCAAATTGTAAAAAATAAAGCAGCATTCTGGGTAAAATAATATTATAACACACGCTCCTTTGGAAGTTTTCTTTTCCATGTAACTTGTTTTGGGATTTATTTTTAACAAGGGGATTCAATATATACCTTGACTGATAAAGGTCAAGGGTTCAAGAAACTCGGTCAAAGATGTTATCAGCTGGGAAAGCCATTTCCTCACATCAACACTGATAAAAATCCATCAGAAACCCAGCCGGTACCACCCCTGCTCGAAAGGGCAGGAATGACATTCTTTTGAACATCACTGTAGTTGCACATCCCATCAAAGAAAATCTGACCTCGTGCCTCAATTCTTTTAATGTTCTTTAATGACAGATAATTGTCTGCAGAGGCCCCCTTTGCCCAACGCTGAGTGAAGCCTTCACATTTCTGAACTGGGCTCACCACTGACTCCGTGTTTTTCAGCACACTCGGGACCGCAGGACAGTAGAATAAATAAACAAGGGTACCAGCCCTACAGCCTGTCTTATCTCATCCTTGTGTTCACAGAGATTCTTGGGGGTGGTAATGTTTACAAATTGTTGAAACTTTCTTTCTTCTGCTTCCTGAGCTGGCAAAAACATATCCTGGACAACCCAAGCAATGAGATTACACAAATCGCTTATCACTCGAGGGAAGCAACTTCTTGTCTCATTGGCCAGCACGTCTCCTTAGTAAGTGGTACTATTAATATTTGCAGCAAATCTTCCCCAATTCTCCTTACAAATCTATTAATGTATTTAGGGCATCTCCTTTTGAATCCCAAGTGGTGTGATCTTTCAAGCAAACACAGAACCTACCTCTCAAAAAGCTATCTATTCATGTATATATCCATATAGCGGTTGCCAAGCCAGCCTTCTGTGTTAAAGATAGTATTTAGCAGGCAACAGCACCAGAGCATCTTCTGGTGTCATTTAGGGAAGCAAGGTACTGAGACAAGATTTTAAGAGACCAATATCATATTCCTCTCATATCCACTGACAAAATATATCAGTGACACGGGACTGAATAGAAACTGCTATAATCAAGTCTTACTATTCGCTCAGGATACAGACCCAAAGTTAGATACCTTTTATTAGGCTTAACAGAGCTCACCTAGGTATCCTAACAGCATTCCAACAAGATTTTATTTTCTTAGATACACAGCAGGAGAAACTACGTTTCAACACAAATAGGGCACCATCCTGCTTACCTGTACGTATCCTGGGTGAATATCACAACATGCTTACAAAGAAGCAATAAAAAAAACCCAAACCCAAAAAAAGCACACTGTAAACACTTCAAAACCCACACTGGTACATCGTTAGTCTTTTAAAGTTGGATTTTCCTTCCTTCAAATACAGACCTCTTGAGGAGCCAGACTGAAGGTTAGAAACACTGGATGGCTGGAGACATGAAGCCTGGTACTCTGTCAAACAAATTAGCCTTCCGTCTGAATTAAAGTGGCACTTGGGACAGTTTGTCTCTTGGTCCCACTTTATTGGGTCAACAAATCAGATTTTTCACTCTGAGTTAAGATTTAATTTACTCACCACGAGTTTAAGTAGGACAAGCTTCTGAACCTTTACTAACCACTTCTGCTTTAATATAGCAGTCATCTCTCAATAATCAATAACTAATACAGAAAGGAAAAACATAAAGTGCAAAATCTGTAAGCAGGGCTAAAATTTAAATGCTGTCCTGTAGCTTGTTATTTTTGCGACTTTATTTTGCTTGTAGTGCAAAAAGTATCCTGATCAAAGTCTGTAAAACTAGAACACTGTGCCTTTTAGAGGGCGGAAAACAACAAAAAAAAGAACCTGAAATTGATTAAGCCATGTTAATTTAACATGTCATAACTTTCACGTGATAAAAAAGCTAGTAATTGCTTACAAACCACTGCTCATTTCTTCTTTACTTTTAAAATTTTTTACTTAAAATATGAGCAAATGCACCCATTTTCATTGATAGGATGGAAGCAGCCAGTATGGTTTAAGTTATCACCCAGTAATTTGGGCACATTAAACCCAATTCTCTGCCTTTTGTTTATTAATCCACTATGCCAGATATCACAGTTTCACTCAGCAACCCTCATGTTTTGGATGATATTGAAAAATGGCTCGCGTTCGTCAAAGAAAGTAGAAAAAAAAAAAAAAAAAAAAAAAAAAAGAAAAAAAAAGGTAAA